ACTTACTGGTCCAAAGAAACAGCTTGCTCATATGATCTCTTGGCATTTTCTACATCTTCCAAATTAGTAAGGGCCACTGGTAAAATAAAAAGAAATATAATAAACATTTTTCATAACCTAGATACCTTTTTTCTTTTAACATATTGTTCTCTAAGTCAATGTGAAGAATGCAAATACATAATATGGTAACAGACACTGTTAATTTCATCATCTACAAATCATAACCACACTGAGGTTCTGAGGTTGTTATGCTTGAAATGTGAGTGTAAAGCAATGGGCAAAGTAGATGTTAACAAAAAAGAGGACATGGGCTGTGTATTACCTGCTAGCAGCATGTACAGCTCTCCCATCTTTGGCTGCAGATTGATGGCAGCACTGAGGAAGTGAAAAGCAGAGGCATACTGCTGCATAGTAAGATGCACCAGCCCCAGGTTATACAGGATCTTCCAGTCAAAAGGAGCCAGGTAGTTAGCTCTCTTTAAACAACTGATAGCCTGAGAAGGTACAGCAATATACAGTCTAAAATTTACGTCACCATTTCTTTCAAACCATTCATTTAAGGTACTAGTAATAGCAAAAGATAGTAATCTTGAAAGATATTATTTTAGGTAAACTCTTAACAGATTGATTTGAATTTTCTTCTTCTTGATTTAAGACGAAGAAAGATAAGTGTCGGAACATCAAGTGCTGCAGGAATAAAGTCACACATTAGCAGCTGCAACTAATGCTGCTGGAATTGGATCACAGTAGATGTATGCTAGGGGTGTACTGCAATGTGGCAAACCAAGAGCAGTCTCTTGAGGACTGAATATCAAGACAGAAGTAACTTAATTAAGATATCCTCAAGCCTAATTATTAATCTTAGTACCAATGTGCCAAATGTCCTGGATATAGCACCTAATTAGGAAAGTGTAATCAGTTTTAAAATGTAATCATTTCTGATTTAGAAAACAAACAAGTAATATTTAGAATACTAATTTTACATTATTCATGCAATTTTCTTAAAAAAATATTAAGTATTAGGAATGGATTAGAAGAAAAGTAGGACTTTTTATAAAGAATGTATCTCTAGTGATAAGCTGGCAGTTACCACCGCAGAGGAACTAGACCCTCCTATTTTCAGTAAGGTGTGTTTTATGCTTTTGCTTGTTATAAACATAATTGCAAAGTTCTGCTAGTTCAACAAATCAAGCAGTTTAACCTCTGAATTAAATTAAGAACATGGTTCATACAGATGAATTGTGTAGAAGCGACTGCACCATACAGATTGACCTTTTATTTGGAGAGTAGTACTTATAGCATATTACCCAATGTGAAAGTGCAAAAGACTCAAGGGTCAATGTCTGGCACGAAACTGTTGCTCCTCATTTTACAATTCAAGAAGCAAACAAGGACATTTTCATAAAAAAACAAAAATCAGAAACATGATTACAGGACAGTCATTTTTATATTTGAAGTGATATATTAACAATTGCTATATGTGCACACTATACTCACTTTATTCAATTCGGTTCATTTCAAAACACCTTATCCATCCCCAGGAGAGCAATTTAGGAACAATGTATGCCAGAACAGTGATTCAGATCATCTTAGAACATGCCACTATTAGACATTATTTTTTGTCAGCGATACTTACCGCTACATACTTCTTTTTGCCAAAGAAGCACATTCCTATATTGTTCCAGAGTGGTGGGCTCTCAGGTACAGCACAGGCAGCTACACGGTACTTGGTCATGGCCACATCAAAATCACCATGGGTCTGCATCATGCTCCCAGCTGCTAGGATGGCCTACACACGGAGAACCAAAAACCCGCATGGAGTTACTCGCTGGAAACGTCAGTGCTGAGAAAGAGTCCTCAGGACCAACATGTTTAAATGACATATAAAGAAACTTTAAATTTGAACAATACATGAAATATCCTTTTTATTCTTCC